TATGCTCGAAAGTCTTATATAGGCCATTCTATCATACAGTAACTATACATTTTTAAATGCCCTGTGACCATAAGATTGTAAGTATTGAAAAATTTCCTCAGGATTGAATTTTTATTATAATTGTTTTAGTACACAGTTATTCAAAGCAGCATGAATATATTATCATTTTTTGATATTCATTAACCAGTTATCAAGTACCAAGTAAATTTTATTGTAAATGTATATATTGATGGTATAGCTTGAAGGGGACACTTAAAATTTTCTCTCTGTTATAAACTGACAAAATAGATACTTTACAAGGGCAAACTCTAGTCGGTACAGGCAGCTTCTTGGACAGATGCATTTTAGGAACAGATATATATATATATATATATATATATATATATATATATATATATATATATATATGCAAGGAAATTGACTTGCTTTAAACTGTCCACATGTGCATGCCCCTTGGAAAGTCTCCAGGTCCTGGTTGTTACTGGTACTTAGCGCCCCAACTTGAAGTCTATCAAGCCTCTCTTCTTCAATAGCTGACACCTGGTACCCACTGTGTGCTTAGCACATCAACTTTATGAAGGAGCTATTCTTGTTAACCCCTTTATACAGATGAAGAAACTAATGCACAAAGGGACTATGTGACTTGTCCAAGTGTCACAGCTAGTAAGTGGACAGGAACATGGTGGCTCCGGAGTCCAGGCTCCTAACCACTGTGTACTTGAATGCCTTTTTAAAAAAGGATGAAAGAGCAGATCTAGGCATGGCCATGAGAGGAGAGCTTATCTTCATGTAAATTATTAAGAGAAGGGAAGTAAAGAAAAACAGTGTTTTTCCACTGTGGTAGTGAATAGAGTCTATTCACTAGACTATGCATGAGTTAATAAAGCACCAGGCAGTGCCTTTTTCTGTACTCTGCTAGAGTAGTATCATAGTATTTAGTGTCAGTCAAGTTAAAATTAACACTTTTTATTTCTTTAATTTCTATTTAACAGTAGTTCTCATGTGCAGGAATATTATCTGGAAACCTATTGTATTCTGCATATTCTGCTTAACCTGTTAACATGTTCTACTTTTAGTGAAGATGACAATGTTTTTATGGTAATATTATAGAAGAAATACTGCATTTAATTATGGTAATGATTTCACACTTATGTAGATCGTTTCGCCTAAATGCATCCTAAAACCGTTTTACATGAAAAAAAAAAAAAAACCAAAAAACTATACCCATCACTAAAATGATTACCTCATTTAGTGACGATTAGGGTTGTTGTCATGCATAAGTAAAAATTAAAACTATTGCTCTATATCAAGAGATATCTTTGAATAGTTCTGAGAAAATTCTATTTTTGGATTTTAAATAATTGGATTCTATAATAAACACACCAGGACATTCAAGGGATTTCGCTCTTTAAGGTGATTTACTCTCTAATCATATAATTTTTCCTTGCTATACAGGGCTAGATTTTTCACTTATAAGCATTCCCCAATTAGGAAGGACATGACCTATGAAAGAATTGAACAGGCAGTGGTTGTTATGGAAGCCTGAGAAGAGAACCTCAGACCTCCTATTGTGAGAAGCTTGAAAGGGAGAGTGTGAAGGCCAACAGCCCTATGGTCTCCAGTTGGAATACCAGAGCAGTGCTGGGTAGAGAAAAGTACTTCTCTTATTAAACTATGTAGAGAGAACTTATCTATGAAAGTTGTCTTATTTTGATATAGATTCAGATTCATCTAATAGTTTTTCAATATCTACCATGTGCCAAACACTGTACCAAATGCTTTCACGTTCACCAGTTTATTTAATCCTCATAACCATGAGGATAAACCAATTTTACAAATGAAAGAACTGAAGCTCATAAAGGTTATAATACCCAAGGTTAAATAACTAGTAAGTGGCAGAGAAAGACATTTTTTTTCTTAATGCTGTAGGTCTGTAAGCCTCCATTATCCGTGTGAGTATAAATATAGTTCTTTAGCAGCAAGTCTAGCATCATAGTCTTTGAAGTCCCAGTGTCTTGTAAATTATCTAGAAACTATAGGAGTTAATCACAGTTCAAAAGGGAAATCCTCCAGATGCCTGCATCCAAATGAGGAAGAGCCCTGGCAGTGGTCGGTGTGTCTGTTGATGCTGCTGGTGTTGTTAGTGTTGCTAGGGTTGCTATAGGTTCTTGCTGACCCACATCGTCACTGATGATCCCTTTGCATCCATCATCTGACTGGCTCTACAGGTCTGTGCTTAAGGAAAGTCTTTATGGCTCCAGTTCTTAGCTCCCCTTTATAGGCTGACATGATCTTTGAAAGGGGAATATTAGGGTTCTACACAGAAACAGAATATGACGAGAGAGAGAGAGAGAGAGAGAGAGAGAGAGAGAGAGAGACTGATTTACTTTAAGGTATTAGCTCATTTGATTGTGGAATCTTGGTAAACCCCAAAGCCCCAAATTACTGAACTCTCATTAAATTTCAATTCCTAGGCATCCTAGTGTTCATCCAATTTTCTTGCTCCAAGCCAATACCATATATTTTAGATTCTTGAAAGCAACGTAGTTCAAGGGATTAGGTTTGACTGCACACAACAAAGATCCAAATTAATGTTGTTTTGAATAAGTCACAAGTTGATTTCTCATGTAAAAGTCTGAAGGTAGGTAGTCCAGGGTTCATATAGTGCTCTCTGTTGTTAGAGATTCAGACTCCTTCTGTCCTCCTTGGGGCATGGCTTTCATTCCCAGCATCATATCAAAATTAAAGATGACCATCTAGTGCCCACCTTCATATCTTCATTCTAGGTAGCAGAAATGAGGGAAAAGAAAAGCAAACTCTTTGCATGGATCATGTCCACTAATATTTCATTGGCCAGACTTGTTCATATGCCCCTACCTGGCTGCAAGGAAGACCAGAAAATAGTCTTTATTTTGAGCAGCCAGATATGCCTCAGTTAAAAATCAGGGATTCCAGTATCATAGAAGAAAGAAGGAATGGATATTGGCAGCCAGTTGGCAGTCTCTACCACAAAGAATTTATACAAATATTAGAAGATGTTAATTTATGGACAAATCAGGACATTGAAATGCAGTTATTTTGATATATTTGATGTGTTCTTAACAAAGCAGCCAAAATTATCTTTTTTAAAACATTTTATATTACTCTCCTGCTCCGAGTAATATAAGAGGAAAGGATGAAGACAGACAAAAAATGTGTTGTACTGCACTTTTCAGTAACATATTCCTCGTGTTAAGTTTGTTTGTATAATAAGCGATTTTCTAACAAACACCATGGGCTCTCTAATTCACTCAAAATTCTAACAGTGTCTGGCAAGGACTCATGTTATCTCTACCCCCTCCATGGCCTTTCTACCCTCATCCCAACTACATTCTCTCTTATTCATCCATTCTCCCTACTCCTCACACCTGCAGGATATACTTACCTTAGGGCCTTCTCACTCCTGGATATTGTAAGGCTAATTCAGGGGTGGGCAAACTTTTTGACTCGAGGGCCACAATGGGTTCTTAAACTGGACCTGAGGGCCGGAACAAAAGCATGGATGGAGTGTTTGTGTGAAATAATATAAATTCAAAGTAAACATCATTACATAAAAGGGTACGGTCTTTTTTTTTTTTTTTTAGTTTTATTCATTTCAAACTGGCCAGATCCTGCCCGCTGGCCATAGTTTGCCCACGGCTGGCTAATTCCTTACCTCTTTTATGTCTTTGTGTAGATATTACCACCTCAATTGGGCCTATGCTGACAAACCTATTTAAAATTGCAATTCCCTCCACCCCCATACTCCCAGTCTACCTTCCTTGATCATTTTTTTCCATAGCATTTATCACCTAATATCTTGACAACTTACTTATTTCTTGTATCTATTACTTACCATCTGCCTACCCTGGAATGTAAGTTCCAAAAGGGGACTTTTTTTTTTTTTTTTTGCTTTGTTCACTAAAAAATTCTAAGTGCCTGAACAAACCAACTACATTGTAGGTGCTCAATGAATGATCTGTGGATGAATGGATGCTTTTATCTCAGAATAACAGTTAAAAGGTAGAAGTATATATTTTATTACCTTACAAGTTATTTCCTTCCCTTAGTAGTGGTATGTCATGTAACTTTGGGACTCCAGAGATGAGATTTTGTAGCCATGTTTATCAGCATTGTGAGTGGCTGATTATACCTCGAAAAGGAACCTATAACTTTCTTTGGTATCATTTCTTATGGGCATATTGTTTTGGTCTTAAGAAATTTTAGGTTGTCTGTGGTGTGTGTTACTTAAGATTTCTAGGTGGCAAATAAGAGAATCCCAATCTCTAGCTTAAGAAAAAAAATTTTTGGCTTACGTACACAGTAAACTCGAGATGTGGTTGTTTTTAGGGATTTAAATGTCATCAGGAATCTCTCTCACTTCTTATTCTCTCTCCATCTCTCACTTTTGCTTTCATTTGCTTTGGCTTCATATATTGTTCTTAAAGCTAGCATTCCAAGAGAACAGAGCACTACTTTGTTTTCTTCATTGAGACTCTGAGGTAGCAATTGCTGTGTCTGGAGAAGGCACTTTGGCCAGCCTTGGACACACTCCTCTGCTTGGGAAGCAAAGCTACATAATATACAGTTCCATGAGAATCAGGAGGAAGGTAGCTTTCAAAGAGGAAAGGATGAAGACAGACAAAAAAATGTGTTGTACTGCACTTTTCAGTAACATATTCCTCGTGTTAAGTTTGTTTGTATAATAAGCGATTTTCTAACAAACAAAAATTAAAATACTTTGCAACCAATTATCATTTTTTTCCTTAAGTAGGATTATACCAAATGACTTAGATCTATAATTTTGTCTTTCTTGGGTTCTCATCTCTGTTCATTCCTAACCAGATTTCACATTTAGCAACTGTTGCATAGTCTAGAACATAATGAGAAGTAAATTGTAATTAATGCCCAGCCTCAATTTATAACCCCGGAGGATTTTACATTTTAAATTGATTAACGTTCTTCCTTATTCTTAGCTGAAAATGGCAAAAATAGAAACAGAAGATCACAGAACAGCACTTTCTCAGTCTTCTTCATCATCCTTGACTAAAGCCATGAAGGAATCACAGCAAAGCAACTCTGAAGGCACTTTCAATGGGGATAACTTTCACTCCGTTGACAAATATAGTTCAAATTATTTACCAAGGTAAGAATATTATTTTAGCAGCTTAAACTGAATTCTGAAGGGGATAAAAAGTACTTCTAGAGTGTTGTCTTTGTAAATGCTCAAGATTTGGTGGAGATTATGATGTCAATAATAAGTTAGAGATGTGATGGGCTATGAAGATTGTTGCCTGGGTTAAAGTCCTTCAAGTTTTTTGTGTTTTGGGGGAAGTAAAAGATAGTTGATGCAATTAACAACACATATTATCATAGGAGTCTGACTAGGACAGGTAGCAAAATGATAATAACAATAATGGCAGAGAAGATAAGATTTACTATGTGCTAGTTAAGTTGAATTATACCTATTTAGTTCTCAAAACAACCCTGGGAGGAATGTAAGACAGATAATATTTTAAACATCTCTATTTTACCTGTGAGGAAACAAAGACCTAGACAAGTTAGTTAACTTAGCCAAGATTACACAGCTGGTCTCTACTTGAATCCATACCGATCTAAGTCCACAGCCAGAGCTCTTAACTATTACTATATATTCTACCACACTTCCCGGAAATTTCCTGGAGAGGAGACAAAAGTATTTTGCCTTTGTTTTTCTCTATTAGAAAGTTAAAGAGCAAAAAAGTGTCTGTCAGGTATTGATAAACTATGGGTTGGCTAACTGTGATGAAATAGTCTTTATGTTAAACGGAAAACGTGAGCTATAAGAGCATTAAAGAAAATGTTCATAAACTAAGGTTATGTTAATCTTATAGAAATGCTAGATCATATATGTATCTTAGAATGGTTTGATTGTTTTTGTGTTTTGTCACTAAGTTTAGATGAAAATGAAATCTATACTTTCAACTAATTCTGTTTTGCCTTATTTCTCTGAGCTGTGAGGAATATTTGCAGTATATGAGATAATTTACACAGTGCTTCTACTTCTTTGTCTGAATCCAAACTTCTTTTCTGTCACTATTGCCTATTACCTAGAAAGTGAAATAAATAACTCTCTTCTCAGCAATCAAATGGAAAGTCAATGACTATGCCCAGAGGTCTTTTTTCATAAAAAAGAAAATAATGAATTTCAACCTGAAAAGGATCAAGTTCATAAAGGCTAATGGTAATCTAAGATCTGTTTGTACTAATATGATTATCAGAGAGAGGCAATTTTCTCTATGAGTAAAGACATTTTCCCCCTAATTGAGGCCAAAACTTTCTTGCCTCATCTTTTTTTTAAATATATATTTTTTATTGATTTCAGAGAGGAAGAGAGAGGAGAGAGGTAGAAACATCAATGATGAGAGAGAATTATTGATCAGCTGCCTCCTGCATGCCCCACACTGGGAATTAAGCCTGCAACCTGGGCATGTACCCTGACCGGGAATCAACCATGACCACCTGGTTCATAGGTCAACGTTCAACCACTGAGTCACACCGGCCAGGCTCTTGTCTCATTTTGTTTTCTTTGCCACCTTACTTTCACTATCTCTGTGATCTTTTCATGAGAAATAATTATTAAAATATAGTCAATTTATATCCCTTTACTTATATCACAGAGATTGTGCTTTTCTTCACTAATAAACACATTGTACAATTTATAAAATATGCCCACATATATTAAGTTCATTCATTGCAACCATACAGTAATCAGTCACTTTATTTTCATATTATCTGATGCTATTACTTTACTCTTTATTATATTTACATCATCCACTCTTCTTTTCTCTTTCTTGTATTCTTTCGTTCTTTTTCCTCTATCACTCTCTGCTACATTTATTTGTAACAGAGTGAAAACTACTGTGCCAGGATCCTTCCCCCAAGAAAACTAATCATCAACAATAAATGAGTTTGACATACTGTGCCAAAGGTCCGATCTTGCCATTTCCTGACTTACCACTAAGAGGGCGGATGACTAGACAAGTCTAGCCTCATTCCTGTGGCAACTTCCAGGAAAGCAGCACAATAGGAAACTTTTCCTACCCAGCTGTAGTCTAATGTATCCCAGGTGACACAAATGGAATACATTATTGGTCATTATTGGTCATAGGTATCTAAGGACAATTGTGCCATACTATTTAATAAAGAGGGAATATGCAAATTGAACATCACCCCGCCACAAAGATGACGGCGCCCACAGCAGAGGCCAGGGGATTTCCATAATACAAGATGGCTGTGCCCAAAGCAGAGGCGGGGTTTCCGTAACACAAGGTGGCTGCACCCACAGGGACCTGAGAGGCTGCGCCCCCCCGACCCCATGGGGCCTGACAGGGGACCTCAGGCCATGCCCCCCACCCGGCAGAGCTTGACGGGGGACCTGAAACTGTACCTCCCTCCCAGTGGGGCTTGATGAGGGACCTGAGGCTGCGCTCCCTTCCCGGCGCCGGGCTGGGGGACCTCAGGCCACACCCCCCACCCAGCGGGGCTTGACAGGGGATCTCTGGTCGCATCCCCCACCCGGCAGGGCTTGACGGGGGACCTCAAGGTGCGCCTCCCGCCCTGGCCCTGGCTGGGGGACCTCAGGCTGCGCCCCCCGCCCCAGCGCCAGGCCAGGGGACCTGAGGCTGCGCCCCCTGCCCGGCAGGGCTTGACAAGGGTGGGACTGGCCGGGTCTGGATCTAGCCTAATGCGGGGGGCTGGCCGGGTCTGGGTTTTGTGCAATTTTGAGGCGCACGTGGTTGGGCGGGGACTTGACTCTGGGTTCTGTGGTGCGCCCCAGACTCTGACAGGAGGAAGATTTTCATATACATTTTACTAATTTTCTTTCATCTCTGACACTTCTATTCTAGAGAAAGGGCAAATAGCAATATTAAAATATTTCCTCTAATTAATCCCCTCTTAATGTTCATGAATTTTGTGCACCGGGCTACTAGTATTTATAGAAAATGTCTCCAAATGATGCGTGGAAGATTTTCAAATAAAATAGCATTTTTAAATTAAGAGAATGGCCTGATTGGTGTGGTTCAGTGGTTGAGCATCGACCTATGAGCCAGGAGGTCACAGTTTGATTCCAGTCAGGGCACATACCCAGGTTGTGGGCTCAATCCCTAGCAGAGGGCTTATAGGAGGTAGCTGATCAATGATTCTCTGTCGTCATTGATGTTTCTCTCTCTCTTTCCCTCTCCCTTCCTCTTTGAAATCAATAAAAATATATGAAAAATAAATAAAAATAAAGAGAATGTTGTTAAAAACATCTCTATCTCACATATAAAATATTTTGTTTTAATGATTTTTAGCTGATGATCATGCAGTTTCCTAGATTTTTATCCATTACATCCTACTTTTTTAAAATATATTTTTATTGATTTCAGACAGGAAGGGAGAGGGAGAGAGAGAGAGATAGAAACATCAATGATAAGAGAAAATCATTGGTCAGCTGCCTCCTGCATGCCCTACACTGGGGATCCAGCCCACAACCTGGTCAGGGTCGAACTGCGACCTCCTGGTTCATAAGTTGACACTAAACCACTGAGCAATGCTGGCCGGGGTCATTACATCCTTTTAATCTTGCTTTCAAGGAGACTAACTGTGCCTAATTCATTCACTCACTTCGTATGTCATTATAGTTATTTTAGATATTTTTAATTGAAATGGGTCTTAGAGTCTTTTTTGAAATATAAACACTTGGTTATATAGCCTAATTTCAGTATTCCAATGATGAGCTGTCAGGTCTTTCCATGGAATGGACAGCAGAAAGAAATAAAGGGAGACAGCAATAGTGAATGAAGCAAGGCACCACCCCCATTGTTTTCAACCCCCATTACCCAACAAATTATGCTTTTTTAGATTTTACAGATCTAAACATTCATACATTATTTCCTTTAAAAATGTCAAAAGACTAATTGTTTTAAAATTTTAATTTCCTCTAGAAAAGTGATATATAATATCTATAACCTCCCCCAGTTTTAGATTTCAGATATACCTTATTTTTATTCCATTGCACTTTTGCACACACAGGTGTATTTTTTTTCCTGTGGGTGGGCTGATTTATGTCCTGACATATCAGTTGGGATATCCTTACCAACATTTCTAGGCCAAACTAGAATTACGGTTTCTTCTGGTGTTGAAAATAAAATATGCCTAACCGGTTTGGCTCAGTGGATAGAGTGTCAGCCTGCAGACTGAAAGGTCCCAGGTTCGATTCCGGTCAAGGGCATGTACCCTGGTTGCGGGCACATCCCCAGTAGGAGGTGTGCAGGAGGCAGCTGATCAATGTTTCTCTCTCATCGATGTTTCTAACTCTCTATCTCTCTCCCTTTCTCTCTGTAAAAAAATCAATAAAATATATTTTAAAAAAAAGAAAATAAAATATGTGTGAATTATTTACTTTTATTAACTTTTTATGATGTTTAAATACATTTTATCTAACAGTTGTAGAATGTTATTTATATCTTTAGAGGTTATTCTATTCATCAAGTTTGGGAAAGTTTAATGAAATCTCTGTGCTTTATGGCCCCCAGAGATTTTATACAAGTTTCCATTCATCACACATATGTGGGGTTATTTCTCTTATTGGTTGTATTCCGGTATTTTAAGGGGATGTTTTTTTCTTAAATGTACTTAGGGTCATTTTTCTTTATATTTACATTTTCTTATTTGTATTTATTCCAATTAGAGAGTTTAATTATCATTAGAATAGTAATAGGATAAAGATAAGTTTTAAAAATGACAGTATTAAAAAACTAACTCTTTAGGAAGGTTTAAATTCTGTAAGAATATAAAGCAAGAAATATATGCTTGTCAAATATACAGTATAAATAAATAATTTAGATGAAAATGGTTGACTACATTTAACAAAGAGACTACCAAATAATGACGGGCTAAAGAGTGGTTGTTAGATTTGATGTACTTCATTGTATATTGTAAGTAATTGCTATCCATAAAAATTCTATGGCTTCTGTATAAGAAAAAGAGACACTTTGACAGGCAACACTGGTATGAAGCGACAGCAAGTACAAATCCTTGGCAACTGTCATTATCCTGCTGTTGCATTCACATCTAAACTGTGTGATAACTTAGAGCTGCATGGTTGTTATTGAGCTATGT